ACGTCAAACCGAGTGTGAGGCTTCTTTACATACTGCTCTCAAAGTTTGTAAGGGCTTGGCAGACCACAGCTACTATACGACCACTCTCTTCACTATTCTCTCTTTGGCCCAAAGCGAAAGACACGTTGCTGCTCTGGATGCACTCTCAAGCCTGGCCTAGGTTTTTCTTCCCTGGTTTTCCGATGGTGATCTTTCGGCTTGGCATCGCTATGGGCCTCTGTAATCCCTGCTTTGCCTCTCTCAGGCTGAGAACACTCCCCCAGGAGGGAAGAGCCTGGGCTTATTCACCACTATAACCCCAACCAGCACTGACTGACTTACAGGTGTTTAGTAAGTCTGTGCAATAAACCTACGGAGAAGGAAATGGCAACCCACTCCAGTATTCTTGCCTGGAGAATCCCAGGGACGGAATCTATGGGCTACCATCTATGGGGTCGCAGAGTCGGACACGACTGAAGCGACTTAGCAGCAGCAGTAGCAATAAACCTAACTGTACATAACTCGATTGGGATGTACTACCTTTTTCATACACTGCTAGATTTGGTTTTTCATGAATGAGACTGCCTTGTAACTTTCACATACTGTTTTCGTATCACGTTTTATGCTATCTTCGAAATAGAACTTGAGGGGTGTTTTCTACATCCTGAAATAGTTTGTGCAGGACTGAAATTATTTTTCCTTGAATATTCTAAGAACTTGCTGGTAAAACTGCCTGAGTCTTTGTTTTAAATTTCATCCAGGGAAAAGGGAAGAACTAGCCCCATGAAATAGATTGGAGGAGAAGGAACAAAAATAAATGTTCTTTGCACCCTTCAAGAACTGCTTGGTCTACATAACTGTATCTAGATGTACTGCATAGAGAGGTGGCAAGAATACACAGAATTGTATGAAAAAGTCCTGATGACCCAGATAACCACGATGGTGTGGGCACTCACTAGAGCCAGACATCCTGGAGTATGAAGTCAAGTGGCTTAGGAAGCATTACCACCAATAAAACTAGTGGAGGTGATGGAATTTGTTAAAGTGCTGCACTAGCTATGTCAGCAAATTTGGAAAACCCAGCAGTGGCCACAGGACTCCCCAACTCCAAAGAAGGGCAGTGCCAAAGAAGTTCAAAATACCACAGAGTTGTGCTCAATTCCAATGCTAGTAAGGTTATGCTCAAAATCCTTCAAGCAACACTTCAGCAGTACTTGAATCAAGAATTTCCAGATGTATGAGCTGGATTTTAAAAAAGACAGAGGAATCAGAGATCAAATTGCCAACATTCATTGGATCACAGAGAACGCAAAGGAATTCCAGAAAAACATCTGTTTCATTGATTATGCAAAAGTCTTTGACTGTGTGGTTCACAACAAACCGGAAAATTCTTAGAGATGGGCATACCAGATCATCTTACCTGTCTCCTGAGAAACCTGTATGCATGTCAAGAAGCATCTATTAGAACCTTACATGGAACGAATGGTTCAAAATTGGGAAAGGAATACAAGGCTGTGTATCTCTCACCCTGCTTGTTTAACTTATATGCAGAGTACATCGTGCGAAACGCTGGGCTGGATGAGCTATAAGCTGGAATCAAGATTGCAGGGAGAAATATCAACAACTTCAGATATGCTGACACCACTCTAATGGCAGAAAGTAAAGAGGAACTAAGAGCCTCTTGATGATGGTGAAGAAGGAGAGTGGAAAAGCTGGCTTAAAACTTAACATTAAAAAATGTGAAGTGATGCCATGGCATTCTCTTCCTACGAGAATGTGACTTTGCAGATACTGAATTTGACTCAAGAACCAAGAGAGTCCGTGCTTCTGAACAGTCAGGTTGTTATATATAATTCTTACAGAATAGTGTAAACCTGAGTGCTCAGTCACTCCGTCGTGTCTGACTCTTTCTGACCCTTGGTGGGCTATAGCCCAGCAGGCTCTTCTGCCTATGGGATTCTCCAGGCAAGAATACTAGAATGGGTTGCCATTTCCTCCTCCAGCAGCCCTTCCAAACCCTGAGTATCACACGGCAGTGGCAAGAACCAGTTTTTTATGCTCAGAATCCTCTATCTTTGAGACGAACAGTGGGAGCAATGCCCTTTAGAGGGAACTCAAGGGTAAGGCAAAACCATGGAAGGCCATTTACTTTGTGCAAGTGGGTCATTTCTGCTCCTGCTCTGGATGGCTGCCTTGCCTCAGCTAAGCTAAACCAGTCACTCCATGAAGAATTCATAGCAGCTACTTGTGGTCTTTTCTGACTGATGTATAACTAAATATGTAACAATGCATCTATATTTAAATTGCATTTAAGTTTTCATAAGCTATGTAAACAATGGGCTTAGAAGGTGCAGTGATACAAGAATTTGTCTGCCAATGCAAGAGACACTGGTTCAACCCCTGGGTTGGGAAAATCCCCTAGAGTAGGCAATGACAACCAGGTAAAGAATCCACCTACAATGTAAACAATTACATTCCTTCAAAATCAGCTATCCAGGGGCGTCCCGGTGGCGATACTGATAAAGAACCAGCCTTCCAATGCAGGAAACATAATGAGATTCAGGTTTGATCCCTGGGTCTGGAAGATTGATCTCCTGGAGGAGGGCCCGACAACCCACTCCAGCATTCTTGCATGGAGAATCCCATGGATGGAGGAGCCTGGTGGGCTATAGTCCATGGGGTAACAAAGAGTTGAACACGGCTAAAGCAACTTAGCATGTATGCAAGGACTTCTCCAGTGGTTCAGTGATTAAGAATCTGCCTTGCAATGCAGGGGACACGGGTTTGACCCCTGGTTGGGGAACTAATATCCCTCATGCCACAACTACTGAGCTTACGCACAACTAGAGAAACTGGGCACTGCAATGAAAGATCCCACATGACCCAACAAAAACTTGACACAGCCAAATAAATTTTTTTAGAAAATCAGCTACCTTACAACTGATGACGCCTACTGAGCTGAAAGTTGTTTCAAGTTAACTCCCTCAGATGGGAAAGGCTGAAATTCCAGCTGGGTAATTACTGAGCAAAATAGCCTCTCTGACCCTCTCTCTTCTAAAAATGAGTTATATAGTATCAACAGAGACAAAGATGTGAAAGGGGATGCCATACACTGAATGTTTTTGTCTCCCCTAAAATTCACAGGTTGAGACAACCCCCAATATGACTGTATGAAGAGGTGGGGGCTTTGGGAGATGATTAGGTTATGAGGGCGCCCTTGTAAGAGACCCCAAGGAGTACCTTTGCCTCTTCCACCATATGAGGACATAGAAGCAAAGCTATAAATTAGGAAGAGGGACCTCACCAGATACCAAATCTCTGGCACCTTGATCTTGGACTTCCAGCCTGCAGAATTGTGGGAAATAAGCTTGTTTATAAGCCACTCAGTGTATGATACTCCATTATAGCAGCATGCACAGACTAAGGAGAAGAGTTATAAAAAACTGGAATTGTAAGTTTTCACATGCAAGCTATGGTGGCTACTGCTGTGTACACCCATTTCCCCTTTATTAACAAGTCTGATTTTGTCTGGAGAAGCAATAGCTTTTTAAAACACTCTTCCCCAGAATCTCTTGCAGCTAGGAGATGCCAAATGAGTTACAGCCAATGAGACAGAAGCTAAGGGTTTCTGGGAACATGTACTTTACTGACATAGACATTCCTCCTTCCTGCTTTCCCCTTGCCTTCTGCCCATGTTTCTTCTTCCTGCCTGACGTGAAACTGGAGGTGGAGCAGCCGTTTTGCATCTGGGCAGCCAGGCATACAGATACAAGCCTACATGCAAAGAATGGTGGAGTCAAAATAAGGACAAAGTCCAAGTACCTGGTGGCACTGCTGAACTCCATGAAACCCAAACCACCAGTGGACGTTTTTGTGTGACTTACTGCTTGTTCACTCACTCTTGGGTACCTGTTAATTATAGTCAAACTTACTATAATAGATCTATATAAACCAATTCCCAAAGTATGTTTTTTCTTTAAAAAACCCCTTTCAGGAAAATGATTATACAACCTATAAATCACAGAGTGTATCATATTGCAAATTGGGCAATACTACAAAATAAGATATGCAATTTCATAGTATATTACCAAACAATGATGTACTGGGGCTGTCTTCATATAATATTTGCAATGTAATTTCCTTAAGATGTATTATGCATACATTTTTCAAAAGTCAAAGTATGAGGAAAGGGCAGATGGTTCTGTGCAGCATTCTCAGTTCATCAGCCCCCTACCTGCTACTGCATTATCATAAAGGACTGTCCAATGAGTACAGTTTTAAAAAGTGATAGATCACACTTACTGGATGCTTAATATGCGCTAAGCACATTCCAAGCATTTTATGTGAAATTAACTCATTTGACCCTAAAAATAAAAATCCTTATGATGTAATAAGCACTTTTATCACCCAAAACAAATAAAAAGAAAACTATCACTTCACAGTAGCATTTTTAGTACACAGTCTACTAATATTGTTACTAACTAAAAGCATAACTGGTTCTCCCACTAGCAGTAAAATTTAACATTATACACTCCAATTTTATTTTTATTTAGAAACTCCCAAATAACTGTATGATGAAACCAAGTTTAAAAAAAGCTTTAATAAAGCTCTGTTTTACAGTGCTTAGTGATGGACGAAGAAATGTGCAGCAAGAAATACTCAATTACTTAGATTTCTTGTGTCAAGACCAGGGTCACCTGTGCTTCATCATTAAAACAAATATTGAAACATGACACAGTGGCACACAGTAGGGAGTATCAGTAGTAAAATAAGCATATACGAAAGGAAGTGGAAAAGTATTAATATTTGATTGGTTGACAACATAAGTTATATGAAATTGCCTGATCCATGTAGCACCCAACAGCCCACGGCCTAAATTTATTTTTCAATGATGTCCTGGTTTTCGAACATACCCCAAAAGATCTACATATGAAAAGAAAAGGTAAAACATTTACATACTTTTCATATCAAGAAGAGTGTAATGAAAATTGTAGCAATGTCTATAGTAAAAAGTCAAATGGTTAAAGGTTTTTTTTTAGAGTTTATTGAAAAACAAAGCTCTTCAACAAAGTTACTAGCAGCAAAACTTATAGTATCCTAAAGAATAAGGAATACTGAATGTGATTAAGATGTCTTCTAGCTTCAACCACAAAACTCCTTAAAGATTTTAAAGACAATATATTAATCAGAATCAGATTGTACTTTTAGACATTCTTTCATCTTATGGCCCAAATCAAATAGTTTTTGAAAATGGTGCACTTCTGTTTTTAAATATAGGAGAAGTCAGGATAAAGTAGTTAAAAAATAGAGAAAAACATTTTTTTGGGCAATGCATTCATAGCAACACTGTATGTATCTACAGATCTAAAAATAAAAGACAAGAATGTATGTGGTACTGTTATTCCATTTTGATTGTTAAAAAAAGGCGGGGGGCAGCACAAGGGTAAATTTTTTCACCTGTTACAGTACACACACTGGGATCTGTGGATAAAAAGTAATGAGATTATCTTTTAAACAAGTATACCAGAAACTATACATCCACATGAGTGTTGTTCCTTTCAAAATAATCAACTTCTTGGGTTACAAATTTATACAAAGACTATCAATATATACTGAACATATTCTGTTTTCTAGAAAAACAATCTTTTTAGTCTTTTCCTCTAACCAAAAACCAAGATGCATAGGTTAAAATGTTATAATCACGGTGACAGGCTATATAAATCTCTTAAAAAAAAAAAAAAGAGGTACTCATCAACTCAATTTCTGACTAAGAATTTATGCCATTTTTAAGGTTGAGCTGGCTTTCCTCTATCACTCAGCACATTCCTAGGTAAGTCTTTCTCCTCTAGGTGCCCATGTGAATATTCTCAAGAACATAAACACATTTCAGAGCTAAAAATTATCAGCAAGGCAAGTCCATTACTCAAATGTACACTGCAAATTAAGTTTGGAAGAAATTTTTAAGAATTTGCTCTTTTTATCCTCATCACTCTTCCTTCACAATTGCCAAGTTTACCAAGAGCTGTTTGCATATTTTATATTCAGTGTTGAAAACATAATCCTACTGATTAAAAGCTTATCAAAGCTACACCTACATCACATTCTGAACCTTAGCCTCAAGTAAGTATCTGGTCACAACATTTTTAAAAATCGATGAATGAAAGTCCTCCATTTTGTATAATGAGTGGAATCGTGGAAATCCTCAAATACACCAGTAAGCACATTAGTTACCTGTCGAGAAAAGTCATCTTTTTGATGTTTTGAGAATCTTGGAAATTCAGTTATTCTGAGATACTGTTAAGGGTAGTTTCAAAGACATGCTGATGGTAGATGCAACATGACAATGAAGAGAAACAGCAAGTCTGATCTCCTCTTTCCAGCATGCCTCTTTTTGCTGAGGGTTAGACAGAACAGGACAGGTAAACGGCACAGCCGGGTGAGGATCAAAGTGGCTTGGAGACCTAGGAGGGGGCAGAATACTGAGAATGGGTCCCTGGTGAGGCTAGTCGCCAAGAGGAAAAAACATCTTTCACTGAGACCAAAAGGAAAACAAAGACAAAAACCCACAGAATTTTGGCTGTAAGGGAGTAGTTAAGTATTGAGATGGTGAGATAAAAGGGTTGGGAGTCAGGTGATAGACAGTTTGGAGAAAAAAAGAGAAAGGGGGGATAAAAGAGACCTAGGAGTGAAATGAATGAGCAGTGGGCAGCACCAAGAGTCCCACTGAGAATTAAGAAAAATCAATGTGAAATGTTTAGTGCAGTTCCAGACAGTGTTATACTTAAGAGTAAACAATTCCAGAGATAACTTAAAAAAAAAAAAAAAAAACCTCTTAAAAAAAAAAAAGACCTATTTTGGCTTGAATATTTGTGTCTGCCCCTGAATTCATATACTGAAGCCCTAGCCCTTACTGTATTGAAATTTGGAGATGGAGGTCTTTGGGAGGTCACTGAAGTTAGATGAGGTCGTGAGGGTGAGATCTTATGATGAGATTAGTGTTCTTATAACAAGAGAGAGACTGCTCTTTCCAAGTGTACATACACAGAATGGGGTTCAGGGAGCACACAGCAAAATGATGGCCACGTACAGGGCAAAAAGCCTCACAATGAAACCTACTTTGCCAGCATCCTGATCTTCAACTTTCAAGTCTCTGGGGCTGTGAGAAATAAATTTCTGCTGTTCAAGCCACTCAGTGTATGATATTTTGTTATGGCAACCTGAGGTAAGTAAAAAACTCTTTAATACACCAGGGGAGGATACTGGATTTATGAAACAAGACCAGAAACCTATAAAAAGATCAGAAAAGGGGAGATGGGATCGGGATGGGGAATACATGTAAATCCATGGCTGATTCATGTCAATGTATGACAAAAACCACTACAATATTGTAAGTAATTAGCCTCCAACTAATAAAAATAAATGGAAAAAAAAAAAGATCAGAAAGGAAGAATGACCTTTTGGAAATTAGAAACACGAGGGAGCTCCCTGGCCCTCTAGTGGTTAGAACTTGGTGCTTTCAATGCCATGGCCCCAGGATCAACCCCTCCTTGGAGAACGAAAAAAAAAAATCTCACAAGCAGCACAGTGTGGGGGTGAAAAAAAATTTAAACAAGAAGCGACAGGTGATCTATGCTCCAAAAAGGGTCAGAGATAAAATCAAGGAAATTCTCCCACAAAGTTAAAAACAGAAGACAAAGGGATAGAAAGCAGGAGAGAAAGATAAGAAAAACAGGAGATCAATGCTGAAATGCCAGAAAGAAATAACACGGAGAAAATGTGGCAATTATTAAAGAAATAATATAAGAATTCACCAGAACAGAAGGAAATTAGTCTTTATCATCAAGGCCCGCCAAAAGCTAAACATATAGACCCTCTCCAAGGTTTCAAGGTAAATTTTCAGAACAAAAACTCCAGAGAGGCAGAAAAATGAGTTACATAAAAAGATGTTATCAGAAATGGCAGGTTTTACAGATAAAGTAGGGACTTCAAAATTCTCAAGGAAGATGATTTCCAACCTAAAATCCTGTATTATCGATTAAATCTGAGACATTTTCAGACATGCAAGATCTTAAAAATCTTAACCCATATGCACCCTTCCTCAGGACACTAATGAAATATGTACTTCTCCAAAATGAAGAATAAACCAAACAAGAGAAAACAAAAAATCTAAATTCAGTCGAAAAGTGAAACAGTTTCAGATGCCAGAGGGCAGAAGGCCTGGAAAGCAAGAGCCCAAACTGAAGCCCTAATCAGAAAAAGGAACAGTCCTTATCGGAGACATTTAATGGTATAGAAAAGAGCCTTCAGAGGGCTTTTGAGATGAGTCTGGAAAAACTTAGTGATGGGAACATAGAAACTTTCAAAGGAAACGAAAGACAAGATTGACAATAAGAAAAGCAAAAAAGTTGAACAAGAAATGACACATGGTGATAATAAATTACTCAAATGATCAACACTCCCACATAGTATTGGGTTAAAAACTGACAACTAATCAAATTTTGCCACCCTTCTTAATTGGGAGAGTAGAGGGAGTAAAAATGGGAAAATGGCATAGTAATCAAATTCTCAACTGTAATAGCAGGAAGCTTCTAGAGAAAGTAAAATACAGAAATATCAAAAAATACCAGCATAAGTATATAATTTAGAAATCTGAAAATTAATGCATGCTAAAACCAGTTCAAAGTTAAAAGCAGATGCCTCTGTGGAGCAGGACTCTGCAGTGAGGAAGCCAACAGCTGAGGACTGGTACTGTTTATTATGACTCCTTAAAGATTATCTATGCATATTATTTTGCTAAAAATCTAAAAAAAAAAAATGAGGTTTAAAAAAGACCTTTCCCTTCACTGTTCTACTCTTCTTCCTCCTCTTCAAAAGATAAAGCTTGTTAAAAAATGATGTGCATAAAAAATAATTCTCTAATTTTAAAAAGTCACAAATTTCAAAATAGTAGTAAAGCATGTATCAAGCTCCTACAAATAGTGCTTTTCAATCAAATCAATCGCCCAGGCATTTTTAAACTTTTCCGAGATAAATGTTTTGAGCATTTGCTATAGTTAAAGAAATACAAATGTCAGAATAGCACTAAGCAGTTTTATAGTGTAACAAATATTTTAAGCAGTCATTGCCTACATCCTCATACTTTTTTATGTACAATTTTGTTTTTTCATCCTGAACTCTATAATGCATCTGTTCTCCATGTCAGGATATCCAACATTCAAATTAAATGTGTATAATGAAATGATGCCTTAGAACACTGCACGTTTCATTTTGAATAAATTTATTCTGAACCTGATTTAGAAGAGGGAAGGCTCATGCTTACTAATCAATGATTTCTGAAAGTCTTTCTAATTTGGAGCTCTGTAATACATTCATAGTGCCATGACACATTTAAAAAATAGTCATCCTTAAAAATACTAGAATGTACTTTGAAAACCTATTACATATATTCTTTTAAGCTACTCTGATCTAAAGAAAGAATTAAAGTTTATGAAAAGGGAAAATGAACATTAAAAAGTTTATTTCTAGCCCTGAAAGAACAAAATTATTGAACAAGGTCATCAAATACAGCAGTTAATGTCAATGTAACAATTAAATAATTGAATGGGATTAAATTAAAAATAAGTCAATATAAAATTTGAAGACAAAACAGAAAACAAGTTACTTTCACTTAATTCCATTTCTAGCTACCAAAAAAAAAAAAACCCCACAAGACATTCCTACCAAAGATGTTCAATTTCAAAGTTAATTCTCTGCTCAACACAGAATGAAAGTATGTTTGACAGAATTATCATACATTTTTTCTTTCCATTTGAAAACATTCTAGAATTGTGAGTGAGAAAGACTTCAGTTCTCTCAAGGCCAGGCCGGTGCTCAGTTCTCCTTTGTAATCCTCACAGTATTCACCACGGTGTTTTTGTCAATGTGGTCAATAAATGTGTTAGTGAGAAATAAAATCCGTGTGTGTGTGTGTGTGTGTGTATTTTCTTTTTCCCTTTCTTAAACATACTCATATACCTGTGGGAAAAACTGATTTTAACAGTTTCTCTATTGTGGGAGCAGTTGAGAAAAGGAAGACAATCTGCTTTTTATATTACCATGAATTTCGCTATAAAAAACCCCAAAGAAGTTTAACCTGGCCTTCAGCTATTGTCTACAATGATTTTAGACATTTCACTCAATATGAATCTCAGTATACTTTTAAACTAAAAAACTAATGCAAAATTTTTAAGCACCCATTTTGTTCTAATTAGAGTTACTGCCTGATCAGATCTAAAATTACTCCAAACTAGAATACAGTATATATAAACAAATATGCATTTATGTGAGCCCTACAAAGAAATACTCATAGGTAGTTTTAAATTGCTCATTAAAGGCACAGGGTCATTTAGGACTGTGGTAACTAGATACATCTTAAGCAGCTTAATATTTATATATTGAGGGAAAGAGAATTTATATTATGTGCCAGGCACTCAACACATAAAGACAGAGTTGTGTTAGCCTTAGTTTCTTATGCTAGCACAATCACTCTACTTGTTTTTTTACTATTCTAGGTAGGATAAAATATTCAATATTTTCATGGTTTCCCAGTTTTAACTGTCCCTAAAAGCAGCAAAAGGAACAGGAGGAAAAGGAAACTTTTAGACTGCCAGAGAGTCTGAAATATAATAAATACTATAGTAATATTGTCTTAACAACAAAAGAAGACTACTAAGGTAATTTTTAGATTTAAATGAGAATTTTCATTCTACAGTAATGACAAAAAGGGTAAATACAAAAGGCAGTTATTAAGAAAAAACCATGAATCTTGATTCAGATATAATTTTTCTTGTAACAAGATGTGAACACTTTAATTTAAAATTAATAAATCACAATTCTGTATTGCTTTTAAGATTAAGATTATTCAAAAATGACACAGTTCAGAATTAACCAAAGTATATTTCTATTACAAGTTAGTTTATCCAAGTAAGTAAAGAATAAACCACAGTGTAGCTCCCTTAACCTAGGAGTCAGGTTTTAATGACAAAGTCCGTTGCCAGCAATGGACATGCAGGTGACCATTAGAGAAGCTGTAAATACAAACCCAAACTGCTTCTACAAACTGAAAAGATCTCTGTTGAGTCACAGGCAAAAAAACAGGGCACTGGCACTACATCCAATTAATATGGTCTCTATGATTTATGTATAGAAGTGCCTTCTAGAGTGGTCATGAGGATCACAGTCTCGTGTCATTTAGTTGGTTTTCTATTTCACTGGTAACATCTTCTTTATTATAATCCATCCAGACAACTATTTACAAAGAATGTCCAAATCTGGAACTCAAGAGACACTGTAGCTTTCCACCAGATAAACCAGCTTTTTCTGTAATTTAGTAATAGTTGTAGAAGGTCAATATAATCCAGAGAAAAATAAAATCAACAATCAAACTGAAAACAGAGACCATTAAGTGCTCTAGATACAAATTCCATGAATTATTTTACTTGTTTTTGTGTAACTCTCCAACATCGCATTACCAATTAAAAAAAACAAAACAAAAACCAACCACCAGCCATTTCTATCCTTATACCTATATCTTAACACAAATATGGTGGGAATGATAGGAAATAAAACTCTATCAGTTCTCCTAATGCACTTCAAAACATCAAAATTATTTTTATTCACAATTCGTACTATTGCAGGATGGCAAGTAGGTGTGAAGTCAATTATGAGTGAATGGTGGGAATAAAAAGCCAGAACCAAACCACAGATTTTTCTCTTTTACATGGCTCTTGCCATGTCAGAAGGGAAATACTGCCTTCAAGAGTCAAACAATTGAAATGACCAGCGAAGAAAAGGACAGGAGAGGATGGGAGAAGAGAGGGCACTCGAATAATTAATGCTACAGGTCACAGACCTTTTTTAAATCTTTAAAATAAAAACAGTATTGCTATTAACAAGCACATTTCATTATTCCTTCTTTCTCCAGTTTTTTACATGGATATTATTTACTTATTTGAAAAAAATCAAAAGTAACTCAACATCTCAAATGACTCATGAATTTACTAAGAAGTACTTTGTCACTTAAGTTTTCACAGACAGTAGAATGCTGATAATGGGTTGGGAACAATGTTTATCACAAATCTCTACAGTTTACTGGTCAGAAGCTACATCTCTAAGTAACAGACATTTCTCTTCCATTAATATAATCTTATCTAATTATTTTAGAGCTCACCAAGGTTCAAGTCTCTCACTTTGTTAACTCCAAACATTTTTCACCTTTAAATGGAAAAAAATAGTTAAGTTTTAGATTTTAAAATTCAATGGTTATTATATTATTTACCATGAGAAGGGAGAGGGAGGAGTAGGGTGAGAGAGGGTTAATTAAAAAACAAACAAACTAGCTAAACTTACAACATATACAGAAACTTATCTCCAAAATGAAGGGGGGAAAAAGAGGGAACAGGAAAGGAGTGGCACAAAGTCCTAAAGCAAAGTCTGAGGTGGACACAGGAAGGAAAAAAAAAAGCTCTAAGAATGTATAGTCAATGGGATTCTTTTTTGTTTCAATGATTTAGTTATAAATATAGATTATTAGTCTTCTCTCTATACATGTAACAAATGCCAAACAACTCACTACCATGAAATTTCTAAAATTGACTCTTTCACATTTGCTAAAAAAAGGTAAAAATCACATACTTCTCTTCCCTTCAGCTCAAATTCTAAACTGAAATATTACATGTAACAACAGCTGGTTCTAACTTCTATACAAAGTCAAACCATACTGAGTTCTTTTGCCAATATAAGGAGCTACATAATTTCCATCACACTTGCCTCCAATTTAGGCATAAGAAACACTTCTCAAAGCAATTCAAAAGGAGAAAGTCAAGGAAAAAGAAAGCTATGAAGAAGAGAGAAAAGAAGACTAGCAGATAAAACAAATACTCTGAAAAACTCAAATCTGCCATTCAAGTATTGAAAACACCCCAAAAGGGACAATGAATGGGATCTATTATAATGATATCGGAAAAATAAAATGCAAATCTCAAGCATGATAAATGGCCCTGATGGGCTTTCTGCACAAAGACGTAAGGCTAGTGATTCAGTCCACAATTCCTTTTGGACCCTAAAGTTGTCATTCTGTTTTGCAATTTTTTCTTGGTTGTCGTCAGGAAGTAGTAGTTTTTTTTTTTCTTCTCCAGGTTATGCAGACCATTTCTTTAAACCCCAAAAGAATAATAATTTTCATATATTAAAAGACTTCTTTTAGAAAATGGAAAAAAGAATATGAGGCCACAGCAATGATGTTAACGGTTACTCTTCATTGCTTCTTTAGCTGCCATAATCAGTGGTGTCAAGCTGGATAACGGCTTGGCCAGTTTCAGGAAGGGATGCTGCCAGAAAGAGCAGGAAAAAATAAATGTGTAAATGTCACAAGTTTAGAAGCTAAATATTTTTTTTCAAGTAAGCCCTAAAGACTACTTTATAGATCATAATTTATTTAACAAATATTTCAACACCTATATAAAAATCAACATAATCAACACATCACTTTTATGGCTGAAAGTGTAGTCTTTTTAGTTCTTCCAGTACTATAAAAACTCAGTTAAACGATTCAGATACCTATGACTGCAATGAACTGGTGTGAGAACTGGTAATATGTAAAAACTCGTGTTCTTATTCCAGTGTTATGGGTATTTTATTCCCAGCAGATAAAATCCTAAAATGCAGCAGCTGCCATGCTGCTGGTGATAAATGAACAGTGAAATATATTTATTAGCCCTATGAAAACTTTCTGCTGGCTATTCAAAAAAGTCAACTTTTCCCCCAAATAGTATTATTTCCAAACTCACCTGTAACAATTCTCTGGCTGAACCCCTTTTCTCCACATCCATCTCCAAACATCGATTTAAGAAATCCCGAAATATTGGGGAAAGCTTCTCTGGATTCTGAAGTTCTGGGGTTCCATTAGTTGCTATCAGGTACAAGGCCTAAAAACATAAGAATAACTTAGACATACTTGAGACAGTTCAACAAAGTGAGAGAGTACTTTAAAAGTTACTTAAAGACAACTGCCATACACACTAAAGTAAGTTCTTATTTCTACCCACGTTGGTTAAATATTTTTAACTTTATATTTAAATGCTATAGTTCCCTGACTTCTTTTTCAAAATTATCTTCACCTTTCTTTTTTTTTTTGGATTACAAATACACATTGGCAAAAAAAAACCTACTATAATACATAAGGGTATAAAGAAAAATGATCACAATTTCACAATCAACAAATAGTATCTCATTTATCTTTCTTAAAACTTTTTTTCCAAGTTATACAACATTTTAAAACAATGAGATCTGTTGAAACCTTTCTAAAAAATTTTAAACTAGCTACATCTATATAACTATAGATGAACAGATGGAACACATAGGATTTTTAAGGCAGTGAAAATACTCTTTAAGATACTTTAATAAAGGACATATTATTCAGTATACATTTGTTCAAATCCACAGGATATACATGACATCAAGAGTGAACCCTAATATAAATTATGGAATCCGTAAAATAATGATGTGTGAATTTTAGGCCATTCTGTCAGCTCTGTAGTGCTATCTCATTTTTGTTTTAATTCATTAGCAACTCACGAATGATATGATGTTGAACATCTTTTTACATGCCTTGTTTGCCACCCATGGATCTTCTTTGATGAGTTGTCTATTCAAATCTTTCACTATTTTTACCTTAGGATGTTTTCCTTGTTGAATTCTAAGAGTTGTTTGTACATTTTGGATAACACTCTTTTTATCAGATACACATTTTAGAAATATTTGGAAATATTTTCAATATTTGTGACTGGTCATTTCATTCTCTTAATAATGTCTTTCTCAGAGAAGATTATTTCAATTTTAATGAAGTCCAATTTATTATTTCATGGATCATACTTTGGATAAAGTATCAACCCAAGGTCACCTAGATATTCTACTGAATTATTTAAAGATTCTGCTGTATTACCAAAATGCCATCAAAAAAAGGATCTCAGCTGACACAAATCATCAGTATATGAGTGCGTCCATTTTCTTGTCACTGAAGTTCATTTCTCTTTACATGACATTTCCTTCCAAATTTTCATTTAAAAATTCCATTCTAAGAAATAATCTCTGAGCTAGCAGTTATTTTCAAGTTAAAATCATAACACTGTTATGAGCTTCTACACTTTCATCAAAAAGGATTAAGAGGGAAGCCCATACCTATGGTTGATTCATGTTGCTGTTTGACAGAAAACAAGGAAATTCTGAAAAGCAATTATCCTTCAATTAAAAAAATAAATTAATTTAAAAAAAAAAGCACTTGCATTAGATACTTCTCCTCTCCAAATACTTAGTAACTTTTTCTCCATTTTAGGATAAATCTTATTATACTCCTTATCTTCATTCATATTAGTGATTAAAAGCAGCCCAGGTCTCCCAGTCATTCCTCAGTTTCTCCATTCTAATACCCATTTGGTTCAGCATATTCCCCTTTCTGGGTCAAATTTTTTCATACAGATCTCCCTGCTCCCCCCCACCCCCGCCCCCCCGCCCCAATACTTTTCTTTTTGAGGCCTGGCTCTTCCAGGAGAATTGGGCCTCACCCACAGTGCTCTCCACACCTCTGTACTTATACATCTGAGCCTGGAGACCAGTGTTCCTTTGGCCACTCATTGCCTCTGTGAGCTCTCTCCCTCCTACTCTGTAATTTCTGGGCTTTCAAACTCATACCTACTTTTCCTTGTTTTAAACATCTCCCAAACACTGTTATTATCTCTAACATGACTCATATTCATGGCAATTTCAGTATACAAAGATGCTTGTTACAGTTCCTAGACATCCTCTTTGATGTTCTTGTCCGCTCACCTGCCTCAGCCACACACATTCCATGGTCACATGCTATGCCATCGATACCGGCAACTGCAACTATTAAATCTCAGTTGTACTCCACCTCCTACCTTTTTCACTCCTAGTACCCGAATGCCAGCAATTCTTTGACTCTAATGGACTTAAATTCCCATTAATCTTCCAGTCTCTATCATCCCTTTCACAAGATCACTTCTTTGACCTTCTCACACTTCATAGTATTCACTTGGCTAAACATGGCTAAAATTCTGCCTACTTCTTGCCTATACCTATGCAGCTAAGTATGGGAGAGGAAAAAGACATACCCCTGGTACTGGCATCACTAACCTCACAGGGGCCCTTAGGGCTTCCAGCATTCACACTAGATATCCCTGTTTCACTCACTCTCCCCCTCTCCTGTCTCTGTTCCAAGACACCATACATTACATTAGTTGTCATGTGTTCTACGGCTCCTCTTGGCTAGAGCAATTCCTCAGACTTTCTTTTTGACAACTTTGATAGTTTGGAGGAGTACTGGTCAGGTTTTATATTGTATGATGCCTCTCTACTGGAATTTTTCTTTATCTTTTTCTCTCATGATTAGACCGAGATTATGGCTTCTGGGGAAGAAGATCAAAGTTAAAGAGCGCCAGGGCTTTCCTGGTGGCTCAGTGGTAAAGAATCTGCCTGACAATGCAGGAGACACAGGTTCGGGAATATCCCACATGCTGCTAAGCAACTAAGCCCATGTGCCACAACTACTGAGCCTTTACTTTAGAGTCTGGGAGCAGCAACTATTGAAGCCTGCACACCCTAGAGCCTGTGCTCCGCAACGAGAGAAGCCACCGCAATGAGAAGCCCACTCACCACAACTAGAGAGCAGTTCCTGTTCAGTGAAACTAGAGAAAAGCCTGGACAGCGAAGACCCAGCACAGACAAAAATATATAAATAAACTAATTTTTAAAAAGAGTGCCACTTTCATGACATCATATCAAAGGTATATACTATCCAGCATGATTCACCACTGAAGGTACCGAGCTGATCTAAGCCTGGTTTAGGTAACGTTTGTCAGCTTTCTCCACTGTAACATTATTCCTTTCTCCCCCTTTTCAAACTGTGCTCCTTGGAAGGAAATTCTCTGCAGCCTACACTTAAGGAAAGGGGAGTTAGGATCCATCTCCTTTGAGGTGGAATATCTACATACTTTATTCAGAATTCTTCTGAATGGGAGATTTGCCTCTTCTGCCATATTTAGTTAATCACTTTTGTCATTTTACGTACACACAGGCTCTTCCTCCTGTCACTGTTATATTTAAACAATTTTATTTTTTTAAGATACTTAGATAAGAAAAATATTGTATGTATATACCAACATAGTTACTATCTCTAGTGCTCTTCATTTCTTTTTGTGGAACCACATTATCTTTTTCTTTCTGCTTAAAAGACTTCCTTTAATATTTCTTGTAGTATAGATCCACTGGTGATAAATTCAACTTCTGTGTGTCTAGAAAACCTTTATTTTACCTTAGTTTTTACAAGATTGTTGGCTGTAGATTTCTTAGTTGACTGGTTTTTTTTGTTTGTTTTAAAACTTTGTAGCATATATCGAACACATATGAGAACACCTAAAGTTGTCTCACAGCTCACTGACACTATTTCATTTTTTAAGAAATTCATTTCGGTCCTTATTTTTCATATTTATTATTATATCTATGATCATTAAATCACTAATCTACATTACCTGCCATTAATACAATCTCAAATTCTATAGTTACTACCTAAAAGTTAGATTTGAATTAAAAAAAAAAAACTTTTAAATGTCTCTAGTTAATTCTTTTAACATCTAGAAAGCATCTATTAAAATTATTTTAATGACCTTGTATATGAATTCTTTTATCTGTGTCAGTTCTGGGATGGTTTCAATAGATGGGATTTTCCCCCTCATTATGGATTGTATTTTTCTGCTTTTTTAAACTGCCCGGTATACTCTGACTTGATTATTTCAGTGCTTACTGCTTTTGAACTGTGCTGCTGGAGAAGACTCTTGAGAGTCCGTTGGACTACAAGGAGATCAAACCAGTCAATCCTAAAGGAAATCAATCCTGAATATTCATTGGAAGGCCTGTTGCTGAAGCTGAAACTCCAATACTTTGGCTACCTGATGTGAAGAGCCAACTCATTAAAAAAGACCCTGATGCTGGGAAAGACTGAGGGCAGGACGAGAAGAGGATGACAGAGGACAAGATGGTTGGATGGCATCACTGACTCAATGGACATGAATTTGAGCAAGCTCCAGGAGATAATGAAGCACAAGGAAGTCTGATATGCTGCAGTCCATGGGGCTGCAAACAGCTGGACATGACTGAGTGACTAAATAACAACCAATTAACTTCTAAATAAAGATGCAGGACTTCCAAAAAAAGTTGATAAGTTGAATATATCCTAAAAACTAGGATCAATGCTTAACTATGCAGCGCCTCAGGATGCAAGCCATATCTCTTCTATTGTCTGTCTATGCCCATTAGACTTGGTGACCTGATCTCAGAGCTTTAAAAAATTTTACAGCTAACAGTTTTATATTTCTATCCTGGATCCCAGACACATTCAATAGCCTATTCAATATATCCACATGGACACCTGGATATCTTAACAGGCACCTCAAACCTAACATGTTCAAAACAAGTTAAAGATGCTACTTCCTGATTTGGCACCTGCCACCTCCACTTCTCTACTTGCAGTCTTCCCCATTTCAGTCAAGGAGAGCCTCAGTTTCATCACTCCAATTGCTTAGGCCAAGCTCCTAGGGGCATCTCTCCCTCTCTGTCAGGTAGGCTCTCCTTTCAAAATACATTCAGAATCCAACTACTTTTTCCAGCCTCCCCCAACACCATTCAGGTCTCAGCTATCAGCATTTCTTGCCTGGATCACTGAATCAGCCTCCTAAAGTTGGTCTTCCTGCTTCTGCCTTTGCCTCTCATGAGAATCTCTTCTCAACAAAGTAATCCCATCAAAATCTAAGAGTGATCCTGTTGAAACATAAGGAAGATCACTTTCACCTCTCTATTCAATACTCTCCAAGAGTCTCCTTGTCTTACTTGTGCAGAAGCCAAAATTCTTACAAAGGCCTAAGGTACCACAGTTGGCTTCATGTCTTAACTGATCCACCTTTTTTCTCCTGCTGTGTACTCAACTGTAGGCTAGCTATGCTGGAATCCTTAGATCTCTGAATACATAAGAAATGCTCCTGCTTAGGGCCTTTACACATGATGGAAATGTTCTTCCCTTAAGTAACTGAGTTTCATTCTTATTTCCTATGTTCAAATGTTACCTCAGTGAAGCCTCCCCAACCACTCTTTTCAAATTGGACATTGACTCTCTGCCTACCAGTCCCAGTACTTAAGGGTCCATCATTTAACATATTACATTATTTCTATTCTAAAAATTGTCTTCCTCTCCCTTCTATAGTGGCAGAAATTTTTGTTGGTTCTTTAAGACTGTACCTTATAGCATCTTATTGGTCTGAGTGTCTTGAGCAAGCATTCAAATCAGTGTTTGCCAAACATATGAATGAATAGTTTGGCAGTTTAAAAACTGTTCTGCAGTGTTTTAAAATTAATCACTTCTATATAAATACTTTAATTGCTCAGTTGAACTGGAACCTCTGGGATGAAAAGCACTAGGAAAATGAGCATCAAAATCCAACACAATCCCGACAGAGCACCTTCTACATATACCATTTCACTGGCCTCTGTAGCTCATTTTACAGCATGTCCAACTTATTTTTAAAAAAATTTTTTTTAAATTTCTGGCAATAAGTCTGTAGTCATGTATTATATTTCAAAACTTTAAAATAATTACTTCATTGAGATGTAATTCACATCACCCTTTTAAAATGTACAACTTAAGGTCTTTAGTATATTTGCAAGACTATAGAGCTATCACTAATGTCTAATTGCAGTACACTTTTATCCTTCCAAAAAGAACACTCACATGTATTACATTTCCTCCTCTCTTCAGTTCCTGTAAACCACTAATCTCCTATCTCTATGGATGTGCCTGTTCCAGAGACTTCATAGTCAGTTGATCCTCATTATTTGAGGATTCCATATAGGTGAATTTACCTGTTCACTAAAATTAATCTGTGACCCCCAAATCAATACTCTCAGTGCTTCTGTGGTCATCTATAAACATCTGCAGAGAGGTGAAAAGCAGCGTACTGTTCAGCATTCCTAAGGGTAAGAAGGCTATGATGTGCCTTATGGAGAAAATGTACTAGCTTGATAAGCTAAATTCAAGCATGAGTTACAGTGGCTATAAGTCCAACATGACTGAATCAACAATATATATTAAATAAAGTGTATTTAAACAGAAATAGATATAAAGCAAGGTGAGGTACTGATCAGCTGACAAAAATGTGATCACGGCAAGCAGGAACCTAGCCCTATACTTCCTCTAGAAGCAACGGTTCAGTATTTGTTAATTCAGTGTTTGCTGTTTTATAGAACCTAACTACCACAAATGAGGAATCAATCAACTGTAAAGGGAATCCGACAATATGTAATCTTTTATGTCTGACTTCTTTCACTTATCATAATGCCTTCAAGGTTCAATGCAGCATGCATCTGTACATCTTTCCCTTTATTAAAGCTAAATAACATCCCACTGTGTGGACATACTACTTCTGTGTATTCACTCAGCAGGTGACAGACATCTGGGTTGTTTCCACCTTTTGAATAATGCTGCTATGAACATTTGTGGACAAGTTCTTGGGTGAATATATACTTTTATTTCTCTTGGTTATTCAGCTAGCAGACGAATTGCCAAGTTACATGGTAACTCAATGTCAATTTTTAAAGAAACTGTCGAACTGTTTTCCAAAGTGCTATACAATTTTACATTCCCACTAGCAATGCATGAGGGTTCCAATTTCTCCAGATACTCACTAATACTTACAATTTTCTGCCTTTTTTATTACAGTCATTCCAGTAGGCATGAAGTGATCTTATTGAGGTTCTGATTTGCATTTCCTTAATAACTACATATCAGTATATATCAGGAGTTATATACAGTAATGTAAAAGAAGGAAGGAAAGAGGGGAGGGAAGGTAGGAGGAAGAGAAGGAAGGGAGAAAAGGAGGAAGGCAGGAAGGAATGGAAAGAAAAAAGAGAGAAAGAGGAAAGTTGGAACTCTACCTCAGCTGCTGGAACATGAAACCGTTTAAAGTCTACTGCCTTCATCTGTTTCTGGGGACCCTCCCTCTTTTGTCTGAACGTGGGCTTTACCACTGCCATCTACCCAGCCTTCTCACAGATGGGATCCTGCTTCCCTCTTTGTACCTGGGGGTACAGAGGCCAAAGTTCAAAGTCAAACCTGAAGGTCATATCTAGAGTCTCTTAATTCTACAGAAAACTGAGCAAATCCTTATTTATGTGCAGCTTATCAAAAAATTACAAACTCTTTAACCTAACACATTCAACTCAGTAACTCAGAAGCAAATAGTTTTTAGATCCAGAGTGAGAGAAGAGACTGGGTTTTTTTGTTTTTAATCAATTTTGTATCCTAAATCCTTGGCCAGTGCCTAGCACATGCAAGTTCTAAATTAATGATTTTTTAAAAAGTTATTTTTCTGAAAGTAAGGTTAGTGTTTAACTGGTCTTACCCTCAAAGGATTTTCATTGAGGTATGGAGGCTCTCCTTCTACCATCTCAATAGCCATGATACCCAGAGACCAGATGTCTACTTTGGGGCCATAAGCTTTCCGTGTAACCACCTCTGGTGCCATCCAGTATGGCGTTCCAACCATGGTACTCCGCTTACTCTGCTCAGGGGTGATCTGAGCGCAGAAACCAAAGTCAGCTACAAAACAAAAAAAAAACAAAACATCTTGAGTTAATGGTGTCCATGGGTTGTTTTAGGAGTTTACTTTATATGACTTAACGAATTATATTTCAGTATTCAATCTCTTAGTTTTTAAGAATGTATTAATAAAGTAAACGAGAATGGGCTTCCAGATATTTTGATGTTATACACTCTCACTTTTTAACTTTTACTTCCCAAAACAAGAAGGTAAATTATTAGGAAGGTTTTTATTCTAAACAATTAATTTTATCCTAAATCTTTTAATAAAGCTGAAAAAGATCTAAAAGAAAAAGTTACCAAGGCTGGACACCAAAACTGTGTCCACTGTCAATCAGGTAAAGGTCAGGAAGTGGACATTACTTTTGAAGGAAAAAAAACAGAAGCTAGAATTAATAAGAAGCATATGAGTCAGCAAGAGAGCCCAGAAAAAGAACACATTTAACTGCAACTGTACCCACAAGGTCTTCACCAGCATTACTCTATTCCAACTACCTCATTTTATAACTGAGGAGCAGGATACCTAATTTAGAACCCAGCATTAATTCAGTAGGAAAGTCAACATAAGAATCTAGAACCGTTTCCTTCCTTCTACTGTTAAAACTCATTCTACTCCATGTGTAAATACTGTTAACATTTAGGTCTGTAAGTTCTGAACTTTTGTTATGCATTTCCAAATATACAAAAAATATCTACAAACTGCTTGGTTTATTTTACTTAAATATTTTACTTAGGATACTTTGTAAATTGCTTTTTAAAACTATTTTTAGAGATCTTTCTGTATTACTATATTAATCTACCTTATTATTGTAACTACACAACTTTACAGAACATAAAAACACCATAATGTATTTAACCATTTCTGTACTACTAGATTATTTTAGATATTGTTGGTTTTTCTTTACAAGGTTACAGAGAACATTTTTATACTTACTGCTGTGCATATGTTCAGCAATTCTATAGCAGACCGTCTTAAAAAAGTAATTGTTAGGTCAAATCATAACATTTATAGCTAAAATGAGTGCTTATAAAACTGTTTCAAGTACCTCATAAGAAAAAACATACCACATTATAACTTTATGATAGGTACATTTATTATTATGACTTCCATTTTACAAATGGAGAAACTGAGGCACACCAAGATCATTCATCTAGTGAGTAGCAGAGCCAGGGTAAAATATTATCCCAAAAGGTCAAATTTAGTTTACCTGTGTATCCACCAAAAATGTATGAGAATATCAATTTCTAGCTTTCCCACTAAAATTACAATTATTAACTATATATTTTGACCATCAAATAGAAACTAAATCCTCATTCTTGCAGTTGAATAACCTCTGAAGGATTTTTTCTCCCCCACTTTTTGGCTGGACTACAGAGCTTATGGGATCTTAGTTCCCCAACCAGGGATTAAACTCACACCCCCTACATTGAAAGTGCAGAGTCTTAACCACTGGACCATCAGGGAAGGCCCTGAAGAATCTATTTTAAAAGAGATGTTGAAAAAGGAGCCAAATTCTCTAGGCAAACAGAAGAAATAGTTTTTGGTCTCCTGATCCAAGAAATGTCTTGCATTTTGCATAGCTGGAGAAACCTCAGTAGAAGTTCTTGAATCCTCCGGAGAGCATGATTGGAACTGAGATTATAGTCAGCAGAGGAAGAGAGTTTCTTTTTCCCCCATGACTCTATCATGTCTGATACAGAAGACAATTAGGGAAAGGGGTTTACAAATGATTTTCTCCCTAAAAATGTCATTTCTGATGTCTGGGTCACACAGGCCTCTCCTAATTAGACCACCATCTACCAAATTCAAAGAAAGACGAATGAGCATAATGAGAAAAATCTACCCCAACAGGTAGCAGAGACAAATTCAAGTTTATGTTTGGAAGACAGCACCAACATTACAATAGTACCAGGCACTGCTCCTCAGTGTTTTACATTTTTAGTACTCAGAAGAATTCTCTGAGATAGGTACTATTATTTTCCTTATCATACAAATGAGGAAACAAACATAAACAGATTACATAATTTCACTCAAAATTATTCAGCAAGTAGGAGCAGATCCACTATTTTAAACTCAAGTTGTCCAGCTGATGGTCCATATCTTTTTACTACTATTCTCCCCCACTCCATGTATTGTCATAAAAATGTTAATAGCAAGAAAGAGTTTTTACTTAAACAAAAGGCAGAAAATTATAAATAACATACAAATGCTATCTGTTCACTTGTTACTCACTAAGTTTAACAGATCCTTCCATGCCCAAAAGCACATTGTCACTTTTGATGTCTCTGTGGATCACTTGATTAGCATGTAAAAACTCCAATGCCTGTAAACACTGAACAGAAAAAAAAAAACACCTATCAATGAAATAGTCCCTGAAAAGTCTAAGGGAAGTTCATATACACTATTTATCTGAGTACCACCTCTAGTATCTAGCAGAAGACACTCTAATAATACATTTATAGAGAAAAAAATTCTGTCACATGCAAAGTTACAAAAATAAGACACCTTAAATAATAGATCCTACTCTGGTCTTATCCAGAAACAACTATTAAATAATGTCTTATCTAGTCTTATTTCTGCCACAGGTTATTTAATACCATAAGAATATCACTTAGTCTTCAATGTTCTCATTTATGAAATGAATGGGTGGGTCAATATGATTTCTAGGCCTGTTTAGATTTAAATTTAAATATCTAAAGGTACACAGCACTTGGTAAACATGCACAAGGCTTTTGAGATATCATTTCAACAGTAATGGGGACTTCCCAGGTAGTTCACTGGTAAAGAATCCACCTGCCAAAGCAGGAGCCACACAAAACACGGGTTCGACCCCTGGGTCGGGAAGATCCTCTAGAGGAGGAAATGGCAACCCATTCCCGTATTCTCTCCTAGAGAATTTTAAGGACAGAGGAACCTGACAGGCCACAGTCCATGGGGTTGCAAAGAATCGGACATGACTGAGTGACTAACACTTTCACTTTTCAACAGTAAAGGATAAACTCATAATCATTCCTATCTGAATCTGAGATGCTCAGAAGTCTAATCAATATAAGACACTGGGTAGTCTGGATCTCTCCAGTTCTTCAGTGTGATGTAAAATGTTTTCTTCCTTTCTCCTATGGTAGGTTTTACATAAAGCTATATCTATATCCTAGATACTATGCCATATTTCAGAAAGCACTGAGTCAAAAGAGCAGAAAAAGTACTTTCACTTCCTTAAAAACAGAATGAGATTAAATTTTTAAAATCTGCTTGCTATGTTTTTTTTAATGTAAACCACATATAAATTGTAACTTGGAAAAAGTTGTTTTTATTTCTTATCCGCATTAAAGTAGAACAAAAAATAAAGTCTGTACATCTTTACAACTAAAAATCTCTTTCAAAACACTGCACTACTCAAAGAAAAAAACTAGATTAACTGTATATTACTGCATCACATCTACCAAGCATTTAAGCAGATTTCTGAAAAGAATAAATCCCCAGAAAAATACTTGTAGGAATAAATAGAAGAACTCTTAAAATAACTTTATACCAATTAGGAATAAATAGAGGAACTCTTAAAATAACTTTATACCAATTATGAAAAAATTATTAGAAAAATTAAGTATAAACAAATTCTTGTTTTTATCAACTTTTGAGTGACAAAACATTCTTCGTTTTTTCAAACATTCATTGTTAAGCGATATATTATTAAACTATCATATTTAAAACTATTAAGTTCTTATTTCCATCCTTCCAGAAACAATCAGGAAGATTATCCATTGAATGAAGCATAATTACACCAGAATTAAAATCTCTGAAGAATACTTTTTTTAAAAAATGCCAAATAAAAGATGAAAAGAGAAAAACATCACATATATTGTTCTTACATGAACAAAGGTTATCATTTACTTATAATTCAGTGTAAAAATGAGGGAAGCCAAATCAAAGGAAACATAACAGTTGTAAGAACTGTCACAATTTCACCCTTTGTGACAATGATTCCTAGGATTCGAAGTAGTGTCTCAGTTTTAACGACAATAGGCAAATCATTAACCAAAGTTTCATATATAGGAAAAAGATTACATGGAAGGAAGAAAGGCTCATTTTTGGCTTAGATGCAGGCAATGTGACAGAATTCTACTGGCCTAAACAAACAGTGTGTCTCAAAGTTCATTAATGAGTATCATTTAAAACCATAAGCAGACGCATTAATTAACACCCAGGGAGAAGATGTGTGCCACTTTGTCCTTGTTTCCGCTGTCGAGTGGGGTGTTTTTAATGGCACCCCCTCTTACCCTCAAAAGTATCCTACTTGAATATTTCCCCTTTTCCAACTCTGTTAACCACATGTTACTGTAAGTTATCAAAAAAGGAGCCAACTCACCTCTCTGCACACAGCAGCTATCTGCGCTTCATCCATGCATGTCTCTGTTACAACATCAGTAAGTGATCCTCCAGCTAGGTACTCCATGACCACAAACAATTCATCTCCCACCAGGTAACTAAAAAAGAACATACAAAGTACATCCACACTTTCACTTTTTCTAAATACATGGCACTCTATATTGAAGATTTCAATTATTAGACACCCTGATTAAAAACACCCAGAAAGCTGGTAGCTTTGAGAGCTAGGAAGAACACTGAAAAGCTGCTTTGTAACAGCACAGAAAAACAACAGAAGGTCATTATGATTTTCCTAAATTACTTTAAAATCTGTCCACAATTCTATCCTGAGTGTATACATAGATTATTCCAATTAAAATAACCCTGTATGGTATGAATTTCCAGATGATGGAGGCCTCCAGAAGATGGAGACCTGGAAAGGTTAGGTAACTCATACAAGGTCACATAGCCAGTAAGTGACAGAACCAGAGTCTGAAACTAAGCACAACTGGTTCCAAAGCTTGTGGCTTATCTTAACCACCCATGCTTTACTGACTTGAAATACTATTTTAAAAAGCAAAGCAATGTACCTGAGAAGTTGATTTTTATAAACATGGTCTCCAGAGGTAGGCCTAAAGTCTACAAGTATGTTTTTGCTTAATCCATTCAAAACAAATTTAAATACGGAAATTTTAAAAAGTCACCTATAATTCCCTATCTCCAATACAATCACTACTGTAATTCTCACGTATTTTTCTATTATTTTTCTTTCATTCACATAGACATCCTGCTTTAAAAACAAATCTGTTGTAAGGGAATTTCCTGTTGGCCCAGTGATCAGGACTTCGTACTCTCACTGCCAACCCGTGGGCAGGGAACTAAAATCCCATATGCTGCATGGTGTGGCCAAAAACAAAAAAGGTTATAAAATACATAATTTTCTCTTCTACTTTTTGTTCTGTTATTTAACATCAATTCCTAAGTTATATGAGGTTTTGATAAACATGTTATTTTCCCAAGACAAAATATGAAATAAAATTGACCTGAAAGTTTAAAAATTGAGTGGCCAATCACCTCTGTATCAAGACATGAATCACAACCAATCTTTCCTTAGTGTTTCTGCTCCTGATCATTTGTACTTATTATGAGCACTAGTAGCAATGTCCTTCATTTAACTGCCTTCTCTTGATTGCCAACTGATACCCAAGTAGAGAAGGGACCTTCTAAACTGTAACATGGGCTTCCCTGGTGGCTCAGTTGGTAAAGAACCACCAGCAATGAGGGAGCCCTGGGTTCAGTCCCTGGGTTAGGAAGATCCCCTGGAGGAGGGCATGGCGACCAACTCCAGTGTTCTTGCCTGGAGAATCCTCAAGGACAGAGGAGCCTAGAGGGCTACAGTCCATGGGGTCACGAAGAGTCGGACACGACTCATTGACTAAGAGCATAAACTGTAACATGCTAGTTTCACCTCTCTCCCTACTTTTGAGTTTACTTTTCAGTGTTGACACTCAACCCTGGCCTGGCTAATCTCCAAAACCATTTTTCTCCCAATGTTTAAGAAATATTTCTATTTACCTGTCCAAGAAATTAACTATGTTGGGATTCTTTAATTCTTTCATCACCAGAATCTCATTAATGATCAATTCCTTCTTTGGCTGTTTCTGTAAATTAATCTGCTTAATAGCAACCTATGATGGAAACAGGAAAAAAAATCAGAAAAGTTTCCTAATTCTCTTAGAAAATCATAAACACTAGTAAGTTAATCATCTAATTTACTACAGACATCCTATACAGTGAGATTATAATTTACTCATGGGCAGTACTTTAATTTCCACACTATGCACAATTCTTTGTAATACAGAAGCCCCAATATTTTCAGATTTCTCTTGAAATCTAAACCCAAGGTCAGTCTAGTGCCAGGAACTAATCCTCTTTTCATCCAAACCGGGAAAATAGTTTTTAAAATGTTTATTTATGAAACTAAACACAAAATTACTTCTTCTTTCCCCTCAACAGGAAGATACTATAAAATTATCTAGAGTAATCCTTCAACATATTCAACTGAAAAAGAAATTCCTCATTGATTATTCACAGGCAGATCCAGGTTCTTCCTAGAGTAAAAGCTAGTGGTACGCCCAGAAGTATGACAAAGTTGCTGACCTCTTGTCCCAATGCCACATCAGTAGCAGTGAAAACTGTGCCAGAGGCCCTAGAGAAAAAAAAGACACAAGCAAATTTAAGACTTCTAAATCATTCTCATTTGTAACATCCGAAGACTTTATACTCAAAACAACTGAAAGGGGGTTAAAGAACACCGAAGACGGAACATCTTTAAAAAAAGTAAAAGCAAAAACAAAGGGGGGAAGAGTAAGAAAAAGAGGTAATCCTTGTGGCCAAAACTTATGCTAGAAATTTGTCATAAATTTCAGACCTACAAAAATACAGAAAAAGATCAGACAAAAAGAAAACAGTAACATATACTCATAGATTTATTTCCCTGCTTAAGAAACAAAAGAACTACAAACAAATTTAAAGGTTCTTATGTGGCCTTTCCAAAGGCATCCTCCCTCTTCCCCAAAGTAATCTGCGTTGTACATTCACTCTGTATTTGATGTGCATAATTTCCACATGTTTCTCTATACTTTACTAAGGACACAGGTGTGTACCACTACAGAAGACATTTAACGTATTTTTAAAACTTCATATAAATGATTTCATTTTATGTATTTTCCTATAATTTGCTTTACTGATTCAACACTGAATTGAGGGCTATAGTCTATGGGGTTGCAGAGTCAGACATGGCTGAGCAACTAACACTGTCACTTTTTCTTTTTTTTTCACTTTCACTTTTTCATACCACTACTTATTTATCCATTATTAGGCTCAAGGATACTAACATGATTATCAATTTTTTTGTTATTAAAACCAGAGGTGCAATTAAATTTTACTTTTAAAAGGAAATTCATAAAAGTTTTCAAAAAGACTTAAGCTCACTCTCAAAATTCACAGAATAATTTCCAGAGTATTAACATTAAGAATTCAAGATGTTCATCTGCTCTCTAGCAATAGAAAAGAAAGATTTCAGTTAGCATAGTTTTAAAACCCAAATTATTGGGAATTCCCTGAGGGGCCAGTGGTTAGAACTCTGAGCTCCACTGTGGGAGACCTGGATTTGATCCTTGGTCAGAGAACTAACATCCCATAAGTCATGTGGTATGACCATAAAATAAAGAAATAAATAGTAATTCTTAAAAATGCAAACTATTGAACAAAATCAGGACAGTAGAATTAAAGATCCATACTCCTGATGTGACTAAAATGCATTTAAACAAAGAAAACACTATAAACTTGAAGTAAATTTTCTTACTCTCCTTTAAATATTTGGTGGACAATTTTCCCACCCATCTAATCTCTTACCACCAATGTGAAATCACATTTAAGAAGCAGCCATGTACAATCACTGCTAAGTAGTACAGTATTTTAATAGCATTGAGAAATAAGTTCAATACTTTTACACAAATCCAAGAATACTACTCAGAGAATACCTTAAGTGTTCAATGTCAGTAGGCAAAAGAGGTATCAAGCTGGACATCAAGAAAACATGAATATTCTGGTAATACAGTCACAAATACTTACCCTTGCCCAATTTTTTCATATCTTGTGTATTTTTTCTTAGGGTCACCTATGCTTACAATAGTTCCTATTTTAAACAAAAACAACAAAAATTTGGAAAGTCAGTCAAGCATTTTAAAATTATAAACTAACTCTGATAACATTATTTCTTTTAATAAACTCCACTGATTTTAGAACATACATAACACTAAGTTTCAAAAATAATGTATGCTTCAAACACAAGAAATAAGCAATAAAAATAAAAAAAGTACTGGAAGCAAGAAGATACATTATTTCCACTAGGTTAGACCTCCTAATGTCTTGATTATCCTACCACTTTCTAAAAAATGACGACATTACAGAATGACCAACTATACTAGTTTTCCTGAGACTCAGGGGGTTCTTAGGATGTGGCATGTTAAATTTTAAAACTTAACCGGGAAAAAAAAAAACTTAACCGGTCAATTCCTGGGGAGAGGACAAGTTGGTCATCCTACTTTTCATACTCCACTGAAATGTATCAACTTTAAACTAATGGTAAGTTATAAAACTACTTACTCTAAGAAAAATATACATATAAAATATCCAAATGAAAAACCCTAATAGCTTTTCTAATTCTTCTCCTATATCTATCTTTCAATATATTTAGTAAATCACTTATTGCTATAAAGATTACTCTAATATAAATTAACCATACATCTGTTTAAGGAAAGTTCACAAAGCCACAACTAAGAAACAGGTTTTAAAATTAAATTTAAATTAAAACAGGATTTAGTTTTTAAAAAAAAAAAAGGTATGATTTTGTACATAAAATCCTAACATAGTCTTGTTACAAGTAAGTCCAAGCATGAGAAAATCACACTAAATTTTCACTTAAACTTTCACAAGATAAAAGGAGAGAGGGGCATATCAAAGAAATTCATAGAAATGAACCAATTTTATATAGGTACTCAGCCTCAAGCCTATAGCCAATCTGTAATATTTTTCCTTGATGCCTCTAGGTCAGTGTCTTTTATAACTGTAGTGGCTATAGACTTGTAATGAGATACTACTGCTAGCCTCTCTCTGGCCTGCATGTATTATTCCGGGGCTTGATCCAGGCCAATGATAGTTGATGGATGAAAATGGAAGAAAAACACATTTTATGCTTATACATATTATCTAGATAAGACATTTGGTTTATTCATTTAGGGACATTTTGTATTCTACAGGTGTGCATAAATATATACAAACTTCCTTTGATAAAGTTTCCAATTAGGACCCTTAGATTTGGCCCTCTGAGAAGTACTGCTTCCCAAAATACTGACTATTGCAAAGACGCTGCTCACGAGTCAGCACATAATAATAAGCAGGCAAAGAAGAGCATTATTTTGGCTTTACGACATTACCTGAAGCTGTTGTTCCTAGGAGAAAACAATTTAAGCCAAAATATAAGGTATAAATTAAGACCCATCCAGGCCAAATGTTTCAGGGGCTGTTAACAATTTAAGAATAATGTATATTACTCAGCCATTAAAAAGAATTCATTTGAATCAGTTCTAATGAGATGGATGAAACTGGAGCCCATTATACAGAGTGAAGTAAGCCAGAAAGATAAAGACCATTACAGTATACTAACACATATATATGGAATTTAGAAAGATGGTAACGATAACCCTATATGCAAAACAGAAAAAGAGACACAGATGTACAGAACAGACTTTTGGACTCTGTGGGAGAAGGCGAGGGTGGGATGTTCTGAGAGAATAGCATTGAAACAAGTATACTATCAAGGGTGAAACGGATCACCAGCCCAGGTTGGATGCATGAGACAAGTGCTCAGGGCTGGTGCACTGGCAAGACCCAGAGGGATGGGATGGGGAGGGAGGCGAGAGGGGGGAATCAGGATGGGGAACACATGTAAATCCAAGGCTGATTCATGTCAATGTATGGCAAAAACCACTATAATAATGTAAAGTAATTAGCCTCCAACTAATAAAAATAAATGGAAAAAAAAATAAAAGAATAATGTAAAATGTAGGCAACATACTTAATTTCTCCATAATCTCTTCATCTGTCATTTTGGCCTTCTTTTTCTGTTTGTCTGAAGTCTTGGCACCACCATCAACATTAGAATCACCAACTGGTGCAGGAATAGGATCAATTACAGATCGTGTATAAATCTGCAGAGAAACAGTTAATTACTAAGACTTGAAGAAAAATATTTTTAGGTATTCTTAACTGGCACACTATTCAATTCTTTGATTTTTGACAAAAACTAAGTTGTTTTCAGTGTTCTAAAGAATGAGAGTAATACTTTCAGACTTGTTTTACCAAAGACTGGTAACTAAGAGCCAATGTGAAATATTTTTCTTAGGAACATCATATACATATGTTAAAAGTTTGTATAGCAAAACAGAAGATCTGTAAATGAAATTTAAGTGCAGTCAGATCAAAAATAATGTGCCAGAAATGAAGCAGAAATAAATATAACTTTAACAATCATATTTTTCTACAAGAGAGAAATAAAGAGCAAAATAATGGGAATCCTGATGTTGCAACATGAAAGTGTCAGTCACTCAGTCATGTCTGACTGTTTGCAACCCCAAGTACTATAGCCCCCCAGGCTCCTCTGGCCATGGAATTCTCCAGGCAAGGATACTGGAGCGGGTTGCCATTTCCTTCTCCAGGGGATCTTCCCAATCCAGGGATGAACCCAGTGTCCTGCGATGTAGGCAGATTCTCTTCTGTCTGAGCCACCAGGGAAGCCTAACTATGATTAATTTCCACAAAAATGTTTACACAAATATAATTTCTATCACTTCATTTCAAACAGTCAATTCTAAATGGTACAGAAAATGGAGCCCTCTATAGATGAGGACCCAGTAGCAGTCAGAGTTTTAAACCTGCTTACTGTGCCAATACCTCACCATGCTCCGCTGACTTTATCCCTGTTAGTATAGGGAGCAGGACAGGACTCTTGCTGTCTCTGTCTAACGTTGTTATTGTTAAAATTCTCCCGTGTCTGTTAGAAATTTCACTCCTGGCAGCCTCCTGAATGATATTAATGTTTTAATAGAAATGTTAAATGGGAGATAAAATACATGCTTTGGATAAGAGCTAAGATCCAAGTTCTAGACTTAGTACTTCTCTGCACTGAGATAAACAGAGAAAGGCAGAGAAACAGATGAGTTCTCTGGAAGAGACGGTGTAATGCAGAAAGAAAACACGATATGCATTTTAACTTTCAAAGACCCATTCAATTTTAATTTTCAAAAAAAACTAGTTTTTTGATATATGGTATTTAGGTAAAGATCTCCTAGTCAAACCCCCCATATTAAAATATTTTTAGCAGGAGGACTTTTTAAAAATCATGCATGCATGTATGCTCAGCCATGTCTGACTATTTGTGACCCCGTGGACTGTAGCCCATCAGGCTCCTCTGTCTGCGGTATTTCTCAGGCAAGAATACTGGAGTGGGTTGCCATTTGCTTCTCCAGGGAATCTTCCTGACCCACAGATCGAACCTGCATCTCCTGCATTGGCAGGTGGATTCTTTACCACTGAGGCCAACTGGGAAACCCTTTTAAAAGTCACTGGAAATCAAATACAGACTGCTGTTTTTTAAAACTCACATGCACAGACATACAACCCAGTTCATTAATCAGAAACTCACTGATTTTGTATGATCTGGTCGTGGGGCAATAACAGGAGGAGGAGTCTCTTCATCATCATCATCTTCCTCTGTTACTACTGCTGATGTTTCCGATCCCTTGGTATTCAGCTGCATTTATCACATAAGTAAAGTAAGGGAGACAAGTCAAACGGAACAACAGATGAAAATACAACTACCTCTTTTTTTAACATACTTGGAAATATATTTACTAGCTCATTTCAAAGCAATAAAACATTACTGGTTCTAATCTAATCATTTTAAAAGGTAATTCTATACATTACAGAAAAGTTTATGAAACAAATGTATACAGTAAATACCAAGTATTCTTAAGAGAGAATACTATATAGAGAATTTTATACCCTTTAAGCAAGCCCAAAAATTAACAATCACTTCATTTGTTAAGACCAAAACCAAAAATCCCCTGGGCTTTGTATAAGTCAGAGTTTTTCAGTTATTTAAAACAGCCAGATTCACCAGAAAGTGTTGGCTAACAAAGCAAAAGAGCAAGGCATTACCCTTTAAACAGAGTGTATTATTTGCCAGGTGGATGCTAGGTATGGATTTTACATGTTATTACATATAGTTTTCAAATAACTCCAGGAGACGGTTTCCTCCTAACTGAGGAACTGAAAATAAAACAGCTATTATTTGCAGAAGGTGTTTGTGTTTACATGGTAACTTAGATGAAGTTTCTGACAACTCTGAAGATTCTGACAGGCTTCTGATTGCTTAGTAGATTTCCATAGTCTAGATTCAGTAAGATGGTGCCAGAGGAAAACACTGGCAAGTTCTTTGTATTCAAGGTTATACATGAAAACATTATCAAATGTAACTAAATTGCTCTAATGATCATAAGTTTTAGTTACTTTAAGCATCATCAGAGGAAATTCTATTTGCTTAACACGGCTTCCTCAACTAATCAAGTACCTATCTAAAAGCATATATCAAGTAGTTATTTCTGAAGGCTGTAATTTATTTTGGAAAGTAAAATAAAAACTAAGATTTGTTTTGGGTAACTTAAAACAAGAGCTATAAGAAATAACATATTAACTTACTGCTGGTGTTCCAGAAGGGAAGCCATCTTTCTCTGAACACAAAAGAGAAAATAAAGCTAAGTGAACAATTCAAAAAATAAAACGACTTTTACACAATAAAGGAAGAAAAGACAAAAGCAAAGCAAGTGAAACGTTCTTACATTTATATAATTTTGAGTTGAATTAAAACTTAAGAAAAACAATATCAGTTTTTAAATAAGAATTTACACAAGACCATAAACCTCAAATTTAATAGAACTCTGTAAATTTGCTAAAAGTCACTGAATTGCAAACATCAAGTGGGTGAATTTTAGAGGATAAAATTATACCTTAATAAAAAATTTTATTGGAAACTATACCTATATTTATTAAAAATAAAACAGAAGTTTATTCATAATGATATTTTTCGCCAGCAAACTGCCTATCAAGGAACTTAGAGAAACCAACAGTAACTGTATAAAGGAAAATTATTGACATAAATTTTGATCAATATGAAAGCAAATCCCTGAAGGCAAAACCACAGTTCATGAAGACTAAATACCACAATATTCATTCTGGAGATAGAACAGCAAATTTTGTATTATCCTTTAAAATGCCCAGACACGCAAACACACAAACATACCATTTTCTGTTCAGACACCGATTTTAAATAATTATTCATTTATACATTATTCATTTAACTGCATTTACTAATTGCAGTTGGGAATAAATCTGACCTTTTGCTAAGGATGTACTACTAGACTACATAAAAAAGGTCTAAATTTGCCAAGTCGACCTTATTGGTTCTGAAAGGATACAATCAAATAAGTACAATCAATTAAAACTAAATGTATAATATTAGCTCAATCATATTATTTCTTAAAACTACATGTATGACTTAAAAGGGCAAAGAAACATATTAAATAATAACCCATGATATAATTAGCAAAATCCACACTGAGGGAAAACAGGACAAATGATTCTTTAACAAATAAACTGCAAGGAAAAGACAGCTTGAGTGCTAACATGAGGGCAGGAAGCCTACAAAACAAAGAGATTCAAAAGTCACAATAATCGACTGTAATGTATGGATTTTTTTTCTAGTCCTTATTTGAACAAATGAACTTAAAAAAAAATCCACTATTCTCCAATTCCTACCTGATGATACTTCAATTCTGAGGAATAAATTCTTTGAGTTCCAAAGCTTATATTTATACATATGATGCATTTCAATTTTTGAGTGGAAAACATTTTTTACTTCAAAGTCTGTGCATTTATATACAGTAAAATAACCTGTCCCACTAGCAATAAATATATTTCTAGTTTGAACATGTCTGTAAATCAGCCTCTTTCCCATCTGTTGCTGGAACTCATTCAAAAGCAGTGAAGAGAAAAAACAAATAAACAAAAGGTCAAAATATCCACTTTTGGCAAAACTAAGAGATTAATATAATCTCCAGACTCCAAATTATACAGAAGAGCTGACCCCATTGGTTTTAAAAGGCAGATCTATGCTGGGGAAAAAGTAGAGACAACCACCATAGCTTAGCTCTTATCTTTACAGAAGCAATCTTTTTATCTAGAAGTGCTCCATAACTCTGCAATCCCAGTTAAGTGAGCCTGTTACCATGATCTGATGTCTTACCAGGAGGAGTAAAGCTCAGATATTTCTGCTTCACTGTATTAGAGTCATAGAACTTCAAGACGTCTAGCACTGCCTGAGGATTCTTCTTTTGCTCTAGTTTGGTGATGTTGGAGGTCTGCAGTAATCGAGCCCACTGCTCTGGCATGCCCTAACAAAAAGATATTCAGAAATTAGTTGTTTTGAATTGCTTTAAGACCAATTTCCAGAAGAAAGTGACAAAATATATAAAACAAATCAACCTACACAATTGCAAGTTTGACTAAATTCTCAAAGGTCTAGTTTTCTAAATCTATGTTGCAAATTATAATCAAGAGCCTCAGCTCCCTAGGAAAAGGACATATCCAACCACAAACACTTCTGTACAAAGAGAAGAGCACTAAGAATTCACAGTTTACATGTGGACAGAAAAGAACACTTGAAGGAAAAGTTTGAGCTCTGCTTTATAAATGCATTTCACCTAGGTAAACTTACAGTGAATTCTCCAGTAACAGCATCAAAGCCAACATGGATGGTGTGCTCAAAATCAGACGGAGGAGAAATTTCTGGCCTTTCTTTCTCTTTCTTCTTACTTCCTAGAAGGCATTTAAAAAGAGCCTTTTAAAAGGTAATCATGTTTATAGTTTTCCCAAAACAGACTAGGACGGAAATTATTCTAAGAAAGACATTTTCCCTAAAAACACTGGCTGATAGGAAACTGATAAATCAAGTACAGAAATCTCATGGGGGTGGGGTAGAGTGGGTGGAGGGGGGAGGGAGTAGGAGGAGGTGAAGGGTATTGTCACCAGTGTCCTGATCAGAGGCACATAGACTGACCCAACAACAGGCCTGAATAAAAGTGCTCAGGACAGAAGAGACAGTCCCTTAGAATACTGGTCCTCTCATTAATAAAGAAGGACACTTCACACACTGAACAATTTGGAAAACAAAGCCTATCAAGCCCTATTTCTGTATTTATCTAGAAAGAACAATTTACATCACTATGATTATGGATAACATACACCATGTGAACAGGTAGTTTACAAGGACAATGTCTTTTTTTTTTGCACATCTCTCTTCCTTTTTATTGATGTTAGTAACTGTTACATTTTAAGATTTCCCAGTTTTTCTATGGTTCTATCAATTATTTTTACAACATTTCTGCCACACACCTATTTCTGTAAATTCAAACACATCAGTTTCGTATTTTTCCCCCACCTAACCACCTTGCTCTCAGATTCTCTTACTTAATCTGCAGCAATTTATGTCAAGACTTCTGGCAGAGCTATTAGTCCCAGGTCATTCCTTCACTTTTATGCTGCACTAGAATCGACTTTTTGTATTCTATGTTCTCTTCTTCTTGGTCTACACCCTTGTTTTAACTGATAGCTCTCGACTAATTGTATATGTATTTAGATCGAAAATACGACCCTCCTCTGAATTTCTTCTAATTTTCAGTGTTGCTATTTAGGCCAGTGCCACTTTCTCATTCTGAACTACCGCTGAAAATCAACTGATTATATATATACACAGGTATATTCCTAGATGTTCAACTCTGCTGCAATAATCTTTACCTTATATCAAGCAGACTGGATTATTGTAGTTTTATAATAAGCATTGAAACTATTAATATATAGTATAAGCCTTTTCTTTTTTAAAAAATTATTTGGTTCCATTCTAGGTCTTCTGCATTTCCATGTGAATTTTAGAGTAAGTTTGATAATTTCTTTAAAAAGTCTGCTGGGATTCTGATTGAGACTACACTGAATCTATAGATCATTTTAGGAAGAACTGATTAAATAACAATATTGTATCTTCTAATCCATGAAAGTAGTGACTCTCTCCATTTATTTAGGTCTTTTTTCATTCCTCTCAGCAATGTTTTATAGTTATCAATGTACAGATCTGTTACTGCTTTTGTCTGATTTCTGGCACAGTATTTCAAAAAGTCTGATCCTATTGCAAATGGTACAGTTCTTTAAATTTTGATTTTCAGTTGTTCATTGATGGCATAGGAAAACACAATTGATTCTTAAAAACTGATCTTGTATCCTGAAACCTTACTAAGAAACCTTACTTTTGTTCTAGTAGCATTTTTGTAGCTCATCACAGGATTACCTAAAAAAATTCAATTATGCTGCTAATGAATAAAGACAGGTTTACTTCTTCCTTCCCACTCTGGACTCCTTTCATTTCTTTTTCTTGCCTTGTTGCACTGGCTAGAACCTTTAGTACACTGCTGAATAAAAGTGAAAGGGAAATCTCTGAATCTTTCCTGATCTTAGGAAAAGCTATTAATTTTACCATCTAATATGATGCCAGGCTAGGTTTGTCAAAAATGTTAAAGGTATTTCCTTCTATTTCAAATTGGCTGAATGCTTTGATCAGAAATGAGTATTTGATTTTGTCAAATGTTTTATCAATTTTATTGGTATTCTCAATAAATTAACTTTTCATTTCATTGATTTTTCTGTATTTTTTATTTCACTAATTTTACACATTGACTTTTATTATTTCTTTTCATCTACTTACTTAGGATCTCACCTGCTCTTCCTTTCTAGTTTATTAAAATGACTTAACTGAAATCACTGATTTGGAATTTTTCTTTTCTAAAATGGATGTTTATTTTTTTTATTTTTTTGTTTTTGGATGTTTAATAATATAAATGTCTTCTAAGTACTGCTTTAGCAGTATCATATAGATAGTGGTGTCTTAAACTTTCATTTACATTCAGCTTAATATATTTTCTAAACAGTCTTTAATTTCTTCATTTATTTGGAAGTGTTTTTATTTACTTTCCAAATATTTCCAGAGATATTTTCTGTTGAGTGAAAACTAATTTCTAACTTAATTGCATGGTGGTCATGAATATACTTTGTGATTTGAATTTTCCTAAATTTATTGAAACCTTAAAAATGGCCACAGAATGTGATATCCTAGTAAATGTTCCACACTCATTCAAAAAGAATGGAATAGTCTATAAACTGGTCAAGTTGGTTGATAGTTTTAGCAATTTTCTGTCTACCTGTTCTATCAATTATTGTGAGAAGTGTACTGGATCTGCAACTGCATTTGTCTATTTCTTCTTAAAATTCCTTATTAGCTTCATGTATTTTGAAGCTCTGCTATTAAGTGCATAAATGTTTAGTTCTGTTAAACCATTTTGATGAATATATCCTATTATTATTATAAAATAACTTATTCCCCAGTCTTTTAACTATTTAGACAAATATTTCTTGGTCTCAAGTCTACTTTGTCTGACATTAACATAGCCAGTCCAGTTTTCTTTTCACTGTTAGCATACTTTAAACAATTATTTATTTTAACCTATTTTGTGACTTTATATTTTTAAAGTGGATTTCTTATAGGTTGCATATATACTTAGGTCTGCTTCAGCAACCTGTTATTCTTTGCCTTTTAAATGAGGTGTCTAAACTTGGAAGAAATGGACAAGTTCTTAGAGAAGTATAACTTTCCAAAACTGAACCAGGAAGAAATAGAAGACCTTAACAAAACCATCACAAGCAAGGAAATCGAAACTGTAATCAGAAATCTTCCAGCAAACAAAAGCCCAGGACCAGATGGCTTCACAGCTGAATTCTACCAAAAATTTAGAGAAGAGCTAACACCTATCTTACTCAAACTCTTCCAGAAAATTGCAGAAGNTGCAGTCAAAATAAAAACAAAAACCAGAGACTTGCCTTGAAACGCTCCTGAGAAGACAAAAGCACTCTGGTCCTACAAACAAAGCAAGAGACCAGATTGACTTGGGTCATTTCTTTTCTTTTTTAAAATGTACTGAATTCGTTACAATACTGCTTCTGTTTTCTGTTTTGGTTTTTCCACTGCAAGGCATGTGGGATCTTAGCTCCCTCGACCAGGGATCAAACCCGCATCCCCTGCCTTGGAAGGCAAAGTCTTAACCATGGACCACCAGGGGAAGTCCTGCCCTGGGTCCTGCCTTGCTTTCTTGCCTGTTGTCAGGAGCTCAGCTCTCTGCGACCCCACGTACTGTGGCCTGGCAGGCTGCTCTGCCCGTGGGACTCTCCAGGCAGGAGTGCTGGCATGGGTAGCCACGTCTTCCTCCTGGGGACCTTGCCCACCCCGGGCTGCGCTTGCTCCCGCCGCGTGTCCTCCATTCGCACGCAGACCCGTTACCGCTGAGCCGCCTGGGGAGTGCCATTTCCTGCTTCGGCGTCTGCAGTCATGGGGAAACGGAAATGGTTTCCCCCAAACTGGCTATGAGGCAACTACTGACCAATTCCCTGTTTTTTAAGAGACTGTGGTGTTGCGAGCAATCACTGTGAAGAGTCAGCCGTCACACCTCCTGGCTACATGCACACATGCCAGCCTCCTTCCACCTTTAGGGTGGAGTCCTCCGGTTTGCAGACTCTCTGTCTGGGTGTGTGCACAGGAAACTTGCCGATCACCTCTCTGGCACTGCATTGTCTTTACTTGTTCTGTCTGAACTTTGGACAGTGTTTACCAAGAATGTGCATTTGGAATTAGCCAGTGCCTCTCCCTGATAGTTCAGCTGGTAAAGAATTCGCCTGCAGTGCAGGTGACCCCGGTTTGATCCTTGGGTTGGGAAGATCCCTTGAAGAAGGGATAGGCTACCCACTCCAGTATTCTGGCCTGGAGAATTCCATGAACTGTATAGTCCATGGGGTTACAAAGAATAGGACACGACTGGGCAACTTTCACTTTCTTTCTCCAGAGCATGAATAAGTTTTGTCTCCAGGAGACAATTTCTCCATGACAGACTTCACTACTTCTCAGAAGGGAAATGATGTCAGCAGAGTTTCCTCCAAGTGTCTGCCCTTGAAAACCCTTTCTCGAATCCCTTTCCTCACCCTGTGTGACTTGGCGCACACTCGGGAAAAGGCTTTATTGGAGCGAGTGTTTTGGGGACACTCGGCTAGTAAAGCTGAAGATGGCAGAAGTGATGCACTGGAATACGCATCGGTTTTATCTTCATGCCGGAGCACAGAAGTTGGGATAATTTACCGACATGCTGTAAACACGCCCACACCCCCCAGGACAGGGCGCCTGCCGTCTTTGACCCCATTTCAAAGATATAGTAAAACTGCGAGAAACACTTTCCTTTTAATTAGTTTGAATAAAATTTTGCTGACTGGGGCCTCTAGGCAACTGGTTCCAAATATGACTTCTTTGTGAAGAAATCCAGGCTCATGCACAGACGGCTTGCTTCTCAACTCAAAATCCCATTACTTTTTGTAAAAATTAGCATCAGAAATGTTCAGATATACACACTGGGAAGACCCAGAGGGATGGGGTGGAGAGGGAGGTGGGAGGGGGGACCGGGATGGGGAATACATGTAAATCCATGGCTAATTCATTTCAATGTATGACAAAAACCACTGCAATGATGTAAAGTAATTAGCCTCCAACTAATAAAAATTTAAAAAAATAAATAAATAAATAAAAAATAAAAAGATCCTTAGAATGAAAAAATAAATAAATAAATAAATGAGGTGTCTAGATCAGTTACATTTAATATGACTGCTACAGCTGGGTTTAAACTCATCATCCTTTTGTTTTCTGATGGTCTCTATTCTATGTTTTCACTTCCTTC